TTAATAGAAAAATTTTACAACAAGAATAACATAAACATATTCGTCTGTTTCGAAACATAACTAAATGCACCCAACAGAAATACATAAATTAACGTCCAAAGCAAAAAAAAAACCAACTAGTTTGGAAAACAGCGCAAGGAAAAAAAAAATTGTTTCTACAAAACAATTTTCGCAAACAACACAGAAAAAAAAAACTATGTCCAAAGCATAAAAGTTCACAAACATTTGAAGTATAGTTTTATGGCAGTAATAAAAAACGATAATCGAAGTGCAGAAGCTTAATCCATGTCAACCACACCATCACTCCCAAACAGACGTCGCTTCTTTTCACGATCCCTACCAACATTGGCCGGTGTGCAGACACCTTCTCTTTCAACCATTTGACAATGTCAATCCACGGAAGGGCCTGATGATGTCCCGATTATCGGGTAAATCCATTATGCTGGCATGCGAATGAGAACAACTTACTGTCGGGCTCCAATCCAGGCAATGCTCATTATTAGCCTTGCAAGATAGTCCCCCACAGTGTTCTCACCTTCCAATGTAACATATTGCATAATTTCACTCTCGACCTTGTTTGCTGACTACTTCCATGAGGTTGTCCATGCTTACTAGTGATAGTACCAGGCGCTGCCCGCTTGCGACATTTTGCATTGGCTGATCTGTTAGCGGCTGACTACGGGGGAGCATCATCGAACAGGAAACTATCCACCACGTTCTCGCCAACAGTATTATGGCCCGGATTGGTGGTGTGATAGCACTGAAAGGGTCCCGTTCTCGCCTGTCCTCGTTGGCAATGGCCACGACAGCATCATCATTGCACAGTTCAGTTGGAGTCCATACATGTTTCCTATCGCAGCTGTGCTAGAGTACACCCGTTCCATGAGGTCCAAGTGCTCTAGAGGCTTGGTCTTGAACTTAGCACATCGGTTATCTCCCGGTTATTATTATTATTATTATTATTATTATTATTATTATTTTGTATTTGGGTTAGGAATGATGAATGTAGGATTTTAAATGTAGGATTTTTTTTATTTGGGTTATAAATGATGAATGTAGGATGAATGCAAGTTAATGATGAATGTAGATTTTGAATGATTTGTTTGGGTTACAAATTAATTTTGCTGTGTTTTTGATTTTATAATTTTTTTTATAAGTTTTAATTCATTAATTATTAATGCTGGAGCATTTTAGAAAATGGGAGGAAAAATGTCCAAAATAAATATTGACAAAATGGGAGAAAAAAAAAAGGTTTAAAAATAAATTTTTGAAAAAAAGTCTAATCCGCAAATTGCTCGTACATCCGCGAATCCTATCCGCACAAATCGCAAACAACATTACGAGCGGTTGCGGGTTGACTTTTCCCCAAACCGCATAGATGCGGACGGGTCCAAATTGAACCGCAAACCGTCCCAAACCGAACCACGGACACCTTCTCCCATCTACCAACATAAAGACAAATATGTTCAACACTACAGCAAGTTACACACACAAAAAAAAAAAAAAAAAAAAAACCCTTACTCTTAAAGTTAATAGAAAATTTTACAACAAGAATAACATAAACATATTCGATCTGTTTCGAAACATAACTAAATGCACCCAACAGAAATACATAAATTAACGTCCAAAGCAAAAAAAAAAAACCAACTAGTTTGGAAAACAGCGCAAGGAAAAAAAAAATTGTTCTACAAAACAATTTTCGCAAAACAACACAGAAAAAAAAAACTATGTCCAAAGCATAAAAGTTCACAAACATTTGAAGTATAGTTTTATGGCAGTAATAAAAAACGATAATCGAAGTGCAGAAGCTTAATCCATGTCAACCACACCATCACTCCCAAACAGACGTACGCCTCATTCACGATCCCTACCAACATTGGCCGGTGTGCAGACACACTTCTCTTTCAACCATTTGACAATGTAATCCACGGGAAGGGCCATGATGATGTCCCGATTATCGGGTAAATCCATTATGCTGCATGCGAATGAGAACAACTTACTGTCGGGCTCCAATCCAGGCATGCTCATTATTAGCCTTGCAAGATAGTCCCCCACAGTGTTCTCACCCTTCCCAATGATAACATATTGCATAATTTTCAACTCTCGACTTTGTTTGCTGACTACTTCCATGAGGTTGTCCATGCTACTAGTGATAGTACCAGGCGCTGCCCGCTTGCGACATTTTGCATTGGCTAATCTGTTAGCGGCTGACTACGGGGGAGCATCATCGAACAGGAAACTATCCACCACGTTCTCGCCAACAGTATTATGGCCCGGATGTGGTGGTGTGATAGCACTGAAAGGTCCCATCTCGCTGTCCTCGTTGGCAATGGCCACGACAGCATCATCATTGCACAGTTCAGTTGGAGTCCATACATGTTTCCCTATCGCAGCTGTGCTAGAGTACACCCGTTCCATGAGGTCCAAGTGCTCTAGAGGCTTGGTCTTGAACTTAGCACATCGGTTGTTCATCTGAGATAAAAGAAAACACATATGTAAGTAAAGGTAACAATTTATTTGTAGGGCTGCAAGTGTAGCAACAATGACAGTAAAAACAAATAACACTAAATTACGTAATTGAGAATGGGCACCAATTAATTGTACCTTTATAGTTCAAAGGATTATTCGAAATAATTCTAAAACAATAATTGTAACTATACAATTAATGCAAACATGGCAAGTTGTGCGGTGCACAAGAAATAATAAATAAAAATGTCGCAACTAATAATGAAAACATTAAAATAATTATTGTAAATGTGTCACAATTAGCTGGAGTTCCACATTAGTTTATTAAGGAATTGCTTTGATTTTTAAAGGTAGTTACGTAAACATATGGCACCACCAATCACAAATACTGGTACAAGATTAATGGGAAAAATAAATTATTGCACTACATAACGCTTGTATTTTGGCCCACCAATGGTCAGGTGTGTGAACAAACCCGTCTCATGGTCATACCCAAGCCCTGTCAAGCCTTGATTGGCATTCTCTAGCTTTTTCCACGCAACCCAATCTTTCTTCAAGTTGACAAATTTGTTTTTCATTTGTTTGGCCGAATGTAGCAGTCCGATTTTGTCCAAAAACTTGTTAGCAACGCTCTTATACCCAGTCATCATAATCCGTAAGGTTGTTGATTACCAACGTCCATTTCAACAATGACAAGTTGTCGAAACAACTTTGTATTGTCACTGTTGAACTGGCATTTGTGGATTGGTTATTGTTGGGTTGTTGTGACAGCCTTACCTCGATTCTTGGAAGGGATACGGGATGATGAATGGTTCGTTGCCATGAGCAGTGCGATTAGTGTACCAGGAGTTCTAAAAAATGCAATCTTGCTTGTAAAGTTAATGGTGTATCGGTTTCAGAAAATTAGAGTATATATGTTTTTGTGGACCAAATCCGAAATCGAAGTCCATAGACAATTATTGAAGTTATACATGTACTAGTACAAAACGCCAAAAGACAAAGATGATTTCTATAACACGCTATGAAAATGTTATGTAATATAAGACGAACACATTACAGACAACAACTACATAGGTGATACAAAATGAAATGTAAATGTAACAACATCTATGAAAATGTATCTATGTTTTTCATGTCCAAATCCGAAATCGAAGTCCATAGACAATTATTGAAGTTATACATGTACTAGTACAAAACGCCAAAAGACAAAGATGATTTCTATAACACGCTACGAAAATGTTATGTAATATAAGACGAACACATTACAGACAACAACTACATAGGTGATACAAAATGAAATGTAAATGTAACAACATCTATGACAATGTATCAGATATGAAACAACAATACAAAAACAATGACGCACAAAACACTGACGAAAGTCCTAAGCATACATAGGCTCTGATCTATGCGAACAACGTTCGCACGTAACCCCATATCAACAACATTAGGTGGGTGGTCAGTAGCAAATCTTTCGCTGCGAAACTCGTCACACCAACCAACCCACGCAACACATCGCTGTAAAGACCCAAATTTCTAGCCCAAATGAAAATATAAGAATCATGGTTCTTTCAAGGAAAACTGAATATAAATCTCCAAACTTACATTACATGATACAATAGTTTTTCATGCAACAATACATTAATCCAACAATAAGTAAATAAACAAATAAATACCCCCAAGGGTTTACAAGTTTCCAAGGCTAGAGTCTGGTCACACAAAACGGTTATTCAAACTCACACAAACACAGCACTGGGCTTACACATAGAGTCACAGCAAAATGAGAGCATTGTACTCCCAACACACATACTTCCATGACCCTAGTTGGGTGGGATCACAACATCATTTCCTGTACAAAAATTCCGTAGGGTAAGCATAAAGCCTAATAAGAAATTCTTAACAAAGTATATACATTTTATACAAGTCTCAAGAGATTAAATGCATATGCCATGCTATGCCTTTTTTGAAAATAAATCACATTTTTCATCTTTTGAAAACCATCATGCTCAATGATATCATGCAATTTCAATTGTTCAAAACTTAACAATTTATTTCAAGAGCGGTAAATACGGCTATGGTAATCCCTAGATTGGTGTCTGTAAGTAGACTATACAAGTACTACCAAATTGTCATTTTTACCGGTATTAACCGGAAGGCTCGACACCTATCCGCGCGGATTTTCGTTCTTTCACCCCGAACTCTCAGGCCAACTTATTCAATATCATCTACACCACCTATCAAGACTTATCAACGTATTTACCCCAAAACTATTCCATGAAAACTTGTTTCTCAACATTCTTTTCTCAATGCAAGTTTTCAAATCAACTTTTAAAGTTTAATGTAATCAAATGAATTGATATGCCAATAATACAAGATGAATATAAATACTTTTATTCCAATTCATCATCCAAGGAATAACACAATTCCCTCTTCTCAAGTATCCTCAACAATTAGTCATTTCAAGACTATTTCAATGTTTTGACCAATAATTTCCAAAATGACCAACAATTCACATATTCCCTGAAATTTATCATTTATATAAATATAAATAAGAAAATTTCCAAATATCCATTTATTTTGACACACAAAATAAATATAACAATATCATTCATGGATTTTCAGTCTCTTTTAAAAAAATCTCCAAATTCTAGGTTTTCTCACCAAAACTATACAACTCAAATCTTTTGAAAGAAAACTTTCAAAATCATGTTTTCTTCAATCAACGAAGATCAAAACCCAAAGATCATTTTAAAAGAATAAGAGACAAATCCATTTTCAAGATCGCTAAACTTTTTGAATCAACAATCAATTTTCAAAACTATCGAAAGATGATTTTGAAAATCATATAGATCTTGCAAAAATATATATAAAATCCCTACCTCAAGTTTTGAAAAAGAAATGAGATGAAACCCTCAAAATCAACGGTGTCAAAACTCGATATTCACCGCTCACAACGAATCCCTTGAGAAGTTAACCAACTTTGACAAAGAACATATGGCAGAACTCTAATGGATTTTGAGAAATCAATATTTTGATCCAATTTGGCGTAGGGAAATACAGAGAGAAGGGAGAGGAAAAGGTTTTTAGAGAGAGAGATATATACAAAAATGATCTGAAATATCATATTCACGAACTGATATAACATGGTTCGCCGAGCGTGGAAAGCCCCGCTCAAGCGTCAAATACACTTTCCCAGTACTTTTGCAGACATGTCAAACTTCTGAAACCAAACATTCTTCGCTCGAGCGCATAAACAGCCGCTCGAGCGGACAAGCAACTTCTAATGCATTTTGCATTTTTTATTCGGGAGTGTTGGCTCTCAACCCCGCTAAGGCGCTGCCCTAGGACCCGCCAAGGGGCGCTGCCCTCTGGACCTCCGCGAGCTAACCGGACAGCTCGATCCCCGCCAAGGCGCTGCCCTTGGACCTGCCAAGGGGCACTGTCCCCTGGACCCCCGCGAGCTGACCGGGCAGCTCGATCCCCGACATACTCAGCAAAGTGGCAAAACTTAATGCATTTTGCATTTTTTATTCGGGAGTGTTGCCTCTCAACCCCGCTAAGGCGCTGCCCTAGGACCCCCCAAGGGGCGCTGCCCTCTGGACCTCCGCGAGCTAACCGGACAGCTCGATCCCCGCCAAGGCGCTGCCCTTGGACCTGCCAAGGGGCACTGTCCCCTGGACCCCCGCGAGCTGACCGGGCAGCTCGATCCCCGACATACTCAGCAAAGTGGCAAAACTAGAATCGCTACAATCGTTGTCGTACAAAAGTGAAATAGATAGTTAGACTGCATGTTATGCGACATAACGACAAATGAACAACCACATGACTAACTACATAAAAGAGGGGCAACACAGACGCATCGTACGACTAGGGTTATTGGCAGATCTGGATATTTTGACAACGTAATGTCCAATGCCACGTGCACATTCCCTCGGTGGCCATGATGAAGTGACAGTTGACATGGAGGACGCCATCTCTATAATCTTTTTTTTTTTTTTTTGAACACGTTATAAATTGAACTAATTTGATGTAGTGTGAAGAATTAAAAAGTAAAATTGATAGAATTAAAACTATATGAACTAAGTCAATACAAAACAAGAATCTCATATATTGGACATTTTTTTTTTAATGACATTTAACTAATATAGTTTGTACAAATTAGATTATTGTTTGCCTTCTTTGGTTGATGAGTTAGTTTTTTTTTTTTTTTTTTTTTTTACCTAATGTTCAGTTACAAAAGAGGCTGAATGTATCTTCTACACAGTTGTTGTATCAGTCATGTCCATTTCAAGCCGCAATTCTCTTTGTCTCAGGCCCATAGATTGATCAATGCCTTACCAATCAAAATGTCTTTGCTAAAAAATATTCCCCTATTGTCTGGGTAATTCAAATTTTGCCATCCTCTTTTCCTATCTTTTATGCATGCATAATATATATATATATATATATATATCTTGGCACGGGAGTTTCTAAAATTATTTTGGTCTCTTCAAATATTCAGTCATCGCCTAATATTTTCAAATTCTATATGATTCAATTATTGTGATTGTTTTAAACCAAAAAATATATGCAAATTGTACATACAAAAATTTGTAGTCGCACATATTTGCCTAGTAACCATGCACACTATACATTATCAACAGATAAATTGTATATAAAATCAATACAAAATTATATGATAATTCATGATTTTGTCATTTTAAAACAAAAATTATAACAAAAGCATGTTTTTAACAGAAGCATCCATCATCTATGCAATTTTATTTTTTTTCATTTATTTGTATAGTGATCGATAGAAAGTCGTTAATAACAATGGCGGGAGAACTCCGTAGCGAAACAGACATGGAGTCGTTTGTCTGTGTTCATAGAACATCGACCCCCAAAGATTGGAAATACAACATCACAGAGGGCAAGATCTGACAAGTGAAAGCAAATATGAAGCAATTTTTTTGGCATACAAGTGTTAGATACCAGCTGATCCCTTGTTTTTTAAATGAATTTTCCATGAAAATTGTTTTGTACATACTTGCAAAAATACCACAACGGATGAGGGTTTCTGGGCTTACTTGATGCTGCAGATCCGGCGACGGTGAGGACGTGGACGACAATTCCATAGGCAGCGACGGCGGGTGACGGCTACGCCGTGGGTTGTTGGAGGGAGTTGCAGAGTAGCGTAGTGGCGAGAATGAGGAAATCACAGCAGCAGGGAGGAGGAGGAGGAAATTAGCAAGTGTTTTGCCCTAGGCCCCAATTTGTTAACATGGAGGGTAGTTACATAATTTCACAGGTTTGCATTTTTATCACTTTCCAAATGGTTTTGTTGTGTTTTTGGCTACCTTTGCTTTTTTTCGCATTCATGAAAACGCTGCTTTTTACTAATCTTCCCAAAATGGCACATAATATATAATTTTCTATATATTCATTATCATATAAACTCACCTATTTATAAGTGATAAAACATTCACTATATACCACCATTATTCAACACACTATGTGGTTTACCACATGGCATACCATATTTTTCACATGATAAAACTTTCCTCTATTTTTACTTTGGTCTTAAACTCATTAGAATTCTAATTATATATTTTTTGATGATCATCTAAATATTTCACAACAATCTCATTTTTATTAAAATTTCAAATAG